ATTACACAACACGTAGCCTAGTTAACCAATGTCGTTGCGTTCTTGTTCTCCTCCGGTAATTGAGCAGGAAAGGCGCTCTGAAAGGCAAACGGGAGAGAGTGCCGTTATTGCAACGATTCAACTTTGGACGCGCGATAAAAGTTTCGATTCTTCTCTACACCACACCCCCTCTAATCAGGCAGCGTCCCCGTGGCCACAGCATAGCTGCCCTGAGCCGGCACCTCCAGTTCAACTGCTACTTCCCCAGGCGTTTCGTTCTCCCCCCCCCCCCCCCCGACAGATTGGTCAGTTTTACTCCGGAATGGCTTGAGTCGATTGAAATGTACTATCATGGGTTGACTGGCAAGGTTGTTGGGATCTTTGATAACACATGTCACATTCGATATCACCCGCTGTATTATGTTCGGCCCTGTCTACTCATGATGTAGCTTAACCGGAACTCCTGCCGTTGGTACCTGGTGCAAGTAAACTTGATCGCCAGCCTTCAAAGGAGCGCCGAAAACTTTCTTGTCGTAATAGTCTTTCTGTCGTCCATGGGCGTTCCCAAGATAAAGGCGTGCCGCTTGATGTGTTTGATGAAGCGAATCAAGGAGTTTGCTGACATACTCTGTCACCGATGAATGTGGCTGTTGCGGACTGGGTAGTCGAATGTCAGACGGTAATCCGACTTTTCTTCCGGTCCACATATAAAATGGTTTGACCAGTAGAAGCGTGCATTGTGCTCCGATATGCCAGCAAGCATTTTGGTAACATAGCGTCCCACTCACTTACATTTTGATCCATAAAAGCCTTCAGTAGCGATTTCAGCGATCGATTTGTACGCCCAAGTTGTCCGTTGCCTTGCGGGTGGTAAGCCGTCGTTCGCATCTTGTCCATACCGAACACACGACAAAGTTCCTGCACCAACAAACTCTCGAAACATGAGCCCCTATCAGAGTGTAGCTGTCCCGGTGCTCCCCAGTGATTCACCATCGCCGTTGTTACGGTGACTGTATCGGCTTGGGCGATCGGAACTGCTTCGCACCACTTATTGAAATAGTCGACCATGACCAAGATGTACTGATGCCTACGTGATGTTTCTGGTAGGGGACCAACAAGATCTACTCCCACAATCTCGTTCGGGTAGCCTGCATTCACAGACTGCAATGGTACTCTCCGGGTGATGGTCGGGTTCGTGAATGTGGCGCATGTCTCACACGTCTGGCAAAAGTTTGTGACGTCTCTCCGTTGATGTGGCTACCAAAACCGTTGACGTGCTGCCGCTTCAAGTTTGTTGATTCCAGCATGACCCAGATATTCTTGCATTTCAGTTAACACTTCGGAAACTAATGATCGCGGAACTACGATTCCCCTGATATAGTTTGGGCCAAAATCAAACGCTAGCACACCATCCTCGATGGAGAGCTTATCCCACATCGCCCATAAGCATCGAGCTTGGTAACTTTTTCCTTCCATTTCCTTTGCGGTTGGTTTGTCGCTCCCCAATCGTCGTTTGTCATAGATCGGTGATACGTCTGGGTCCGCTGCCTGTGCTTCCTGCCAACGACCGTACTCCGAACTTTGAAGGTTAACTAGAGCTACGTGTTGTGTACTACAAGACGGGCAGTCTCCATGAGCACGAGTAGGAAGTCTGGAGAGAGCGTCCGCGTTGGCATGCTGTGCACCAGGTCGGTGTCGGCACTCAATATCATACTCCGGAACGTTACACTCCCGGGATGACGTACTCCAGATGGGAGAAGCAAGTCCAAATTTATCTCCGTCAGTTTCCAGTCAACCAACATTCAGGTGTGCTCGCCGGCCTGCTGTCAGGGGATGCTTTTGATATCGTTGCTGATAGCAAAATACTGGAAAAAGAAGTCACGACCGAGACGTTCTCTACCTTGCGCCGCCTACTGGACCCTCCTGCTTTACCTGCACCCCTACACAGAGAATTCCACTCCCGATACCAGTGACCCGGAGAGAGCATTGGGACGTACGTGCACGAACTTCGAAAGGTGGGCGACATCGCATACGAGCGAGTCATCAAGCGAGCGTGACAAACGAATACTAGAGCAACTTCTAGAAGGAACCCAAACACCCTCCATTAAACGTGAATTTCTGCTTCACCCCCCCCCCAACAGTTGGATGCAGCCTTACGGATTGGGGAACAACTGGAGCAAGTCGACAGAGCGATGGCTACGCCGACTTCCGGGTGCTATGCGTTGAGGGGAACCGGACGCCCCAGACGTGCGTCAACGGAACGGTTTACGTGGCATCCTGACTGTCATCAAAGATATTCAGGCTCACGGCGACCAACGCAACCGGGTTCTCGGTGGCCCCGCCGACAAATACCGAACCGCGGACTACCTCGCTACAATAACGGACGCCCAGGTGAGTGGCACCGATTGCATTCACACTTTATACCAGCCACTTTTTGTGCATCGACCACACAATCAGCATTAACGATAGAATTACAGATCGCAGGTGTTCCCTTAATAGGTCTCATCGACACAGGTGCATGCAAGAGCCTAATCATATCTAACTTGACTAACCAGCTAGAAGAACGCGTATACGCGGCTTGTCGCTGCCGACTAACTGCCGCCAATGGAGAATTGTTGTCCGTTCGAGGATCCCTAGCCGCACAAGTTGACGTCGCGAAACAGGGCTTCACCCAGAAGTTTATTGTTGCGGACAAAATTCCATTTGCTGTTATTGTTTGGATGGATCTGTTGCGCCGGTTGAAGTGTCGATTGGATCTGGACAGGTGCCAACTAATCACTGATAACGGTACAGTACTGTTAAGAGCCTGTGAAAGTGGTGCTTTTGAAGCTTCTACAACCTATGAGGACAACTTAGACAGTGAGAAATACATTAACGCCTTTATTCGCTCACTCGGTCGAGTCACGGATGAGCAGACACTGAAGCGGCTCAAAGACGTGTTGCGCAACCACTCAGACGCATTTGCTTGGCGAAGTACCGACTTGGGTCGAACCAATCTCGTGAAACACCGTATCGACACCGGTGATGCAATCCCGATTAAAATTCCCGCAAGACGCATACCATTACATTGGCAGACTGAATTGCAAAACCTCATAGATGAGATGCTAGAAAAGAAGGTAATACGGCCCTCTATTTCACCATGGGCAGCTGCGGTTGTTCTAGTGAAGGAGAAGAAGGATGGTGCTTTTCGTTTAAGTGTCGACTATAGGCGGTTAAATGAGATTACTCGGAAAGACGCTTTTCCCCTACCCAGGACCGATGATCTATTTGACGCACTGGGAGGATCAGTTTATTTCAGTACGCGAGATTTGGCTTCTGGCTAATGGCAAGTAGAAGTGGAGGAACGCGACACAGTGAAAACGGCGTTTGTAGTACCATCAGGTTTTTTATGAGTTCCAGACCATGCCTTTTGGCCTATCTAACGCCCCTGCGACTTTCAACACCTGATGCAAAAAGTGTTACACGAATTGATGCCCCACAAGTGTATCGTTTACCTGGACGATGTCATTGTACACGGAAAAACAAAAGATGAGCACCTAAACAACTTGGTGGAGGTGTTAGTGCGTCTAGTAAATGCGGGCCTCAAACTCCATCCAACAAAGTGCCATTTATTACAGACAGAGGTAAAGTATCTTGGGCACGTCATTTCGGGGATGGGGATTCGTACTGACCCTCGTAAGACGGAGCAAGTAAGATTATGGCCAACCCCTGCCAACGTTGATGAACTACGCAGTTTTTTAGGGTTAGCCTCATACTATCGGCGATTCGTGAAAGGGTTCCCAGAGATCGCTGCGCCTTTGAATAGTTTGTTACAGAAAGGTCAAACCTTCGAGTGGACCGTCAAATGTCGAAATTCCTTCGATCGGTTACGAGAATCCCTCTGTGCAGCTCCGGTGTTGATTTTCCCCGACCTGTCACCAAATGCCGGGGAGTTTATTCTGGACACGGACGCGAGCGACCAGGCGATTGGAGCTGTTTTGTCGCAGAAAGGGCAGGACGGAATAGAACGAGTGGTGTCTTACAGCAGTAGGAGTCTCAGTGCAAGAGAACGGAACTACTGCACAACCAGAAAGGAAATGTTAGCCCTAGTATTCTTTATAAAACAAAACCGACACTACCTATTAGGAAGTTCCTGGTACCAACAGATCATCAGTCACTTCGTTGGTTACAGAATCTCACAGACCCCGAGGAACAGATTGCAAGATGGCAGGAACAACTTCAGGAGTATGATTTTAAGTGCCGACACCGACCTGGTGCACAGCATGCCAACGCGGACGCCTGTACCGGGAGCCCAGAGAGCGATTCCAGAAGACAGATCGAGTTGCAGGGAAACTTTTATTGGTACAGTAAAAGATTCCCTGTTAGCTAGCTATAAAAGAACGACACCGTGGACGCTCTAGCTAGGGGAACGGAGCAAACACAGCACACAGAGCAGTCGCGCGTTGCAACCGAAGCGAGCGCCAAGCAAAAATGGCGATGAGCAAGTAAAGCATTCGAACTCAGCAAGCAGTTCAACAAACCACACCGGTTGCCTAAGTGTACAATTAAAGAATTTTGGTTAGAATTTTACACAGGCAAACCGGGGAATCTCCAGACTGCTACATAGCCCTCTCCCAGAAGTGATTGTGTAAGCAGTCCTTCGATCTACGTGAGGACTGTCCGTCGCGGGCCAGCCTTCTGCGAGACCGAGTTGTGAAACCTGACGCAGCTGCTGGGGGAGAACCATGCAATCGGACCCTAGCGGGCTCCCACCCGTGTCCTCCCTACGTTGTCGAAACGGTAAAAAAACTGTTTGTGGGGAAGACAGTTAGTAAAGTTCACGTGTACGGTTGAGTAGGAAGTTCGTTCCACTTGCAGTTGACGTGCGGGATCCAGCGGGAAGTGAAACCGAGGGGCAACCAACCGACGGGGTGTATATGGAAAGCAAAATGAAAAAGCAGCATAAATGCATAGCAATACACAAAAGAGGGCAAGGCGAAAAACGTGCAAAGCTGTTTTTGGGTTTTCAAAAGGTTTTGCTCTTTTTTGGCAATTTCAAAACGTTTTGATCTTTTTTGTGGATTTTCAAAAACGTTTAGTAAGAGCAGAAAATTTCTAAGGCACGTTCTACGTAAAATAGTAAGTGCTGACAAAGTCTGAAAAACGAACTGGAGGCTTGAGTTTCCTACCGCGTCGATTGAGAGTAGGGCGGGTAGGAGTGCTGTCGGTTGTGTTTGTCGGTTCTGCTGGAGCGGGCTGACTCGTCTGCGTTTGCGGTGCCGGCTGTGATGGCACGGGCTGTGAAGGTGCTTGTTGCACCGGCGAGTCAGACTTGTCGAGGAATGCTGGCTTGAGTCGATCGACGTTGATCGTCTCAGTCTTACCATTGTAGTCAATGGTAAACGTCTTGTCGCTTCTGCGTACGACACGGTACGGACCAGAATAAGGAGGTTGAAGTGGTCGGCGTACGCTGTCAGTGCGAACGAACACGTGCGTGCAAGTAGTTAAGCGTTCGTCCACGTTGGTACGCAAGCTCTGTGCTCTGGGTTGCACAGGCTGAAGCTGTCGCATGTGATGAGATAGGCGAGCTGCGTAGTCGCCATAGTCGAAAGTTGTTGGCGCTTTTGGTGAGACGAGTTCACCAGGTAAGCGTTGTGTGCATCCAAAGACTAGCGACGATGGAGTGGCGTGCAAATCCGCTTTAATCGTGTTTCTTATGCCTAAGAGAACGAGCGGAAGTGCTTCGTGCCAGGATGTGCTAGATTGGGCACAGAGTGAGGCTTTGAGTTGCCGGTGGAACCTTTCTACCATCCCATTAGCTGCAGGATGGTATGCGGTGGTTCGATTATGTTGGCAACCAAGAACGTTGAGCAATTTGCTGAAGGATCCGTCGAAGTGTGATCCTCTGTCGGTGATGACTACGCTTGGGCAACCGAACTGAGCTACCCAGCGTTCTAAGAAAGCTTGCGCAACTGTCTCAGATGAGCAGTTGACTAACGGAATCGCCTCTGGCCAACGAGTGAATCGGTCGACACAGGTGAGTAGGTACACGTAGCCTTTGCATGGAGGCAAAGGTCCGACCAGGTCGACATGGACGTGTGCAAAACGAGCGTCAGGAGCGGGAAAGACGCCAAGTGGGCTTTTGGTGTGTCTGTAGACCTTGGCGCGCTGACACTCTAAGCATGCGCGTGCCCAAAGGCGGACATCGCGATTGACGTTGGGCCATATGAAGCGTTCCGTTACGAGCTTCTGCGAAGCACGTATGCCGGGATGAGACAGGTTGTGTAAAGCATTGAAAACTAGTCGACGCATTGAGGTAGGAACTACGGGTCGGGGAGAAGTTTGTGAGACGTCACAAAGAATGGTCCCCTCAGATGAAGCTAGTGGGACTTCACGTAGTTTTAACGAGGTATTGCGTCGTAGCTTGTCGATGTCGGGATCAGCTTGTTGGGCAGCAGCCATAGCGGCTAGATCAATGTTGGTGCCAGGCGATAAGCTGATCTGCTGAATGCGTGAAAGCGCATCCGCGACGGGATTGAGAGCACCTGAGACATGACGTACGTCTGTCGTAAACTGAGAAACGTAGTCTAGGTGTCTAGTTTCCCGCGGCGAGTACTTGTCTGTTGCGCCATTGATTGCGTAGATCAATGGCTTGTGGTCGGTGAAGACGGTGAAATGTCGACCTTCGAGGTAGTGACGGAAATGTCGGATACCTAGGTAGATAGCTAACAGTTCCCTACCGAAGGTGCTGTAACGCGATTCGGCAGGTTGTAAGCGTTTCGAGAAGAAACCTAGAGGTATCCATCGATGGTCGATGAGTTGTTGAAGAACTGCACCGACGGCAGTGTCTGATGCGTCAGTTGTCAGGGAGAGTGGTGCAGACGTGTCTGGATGGGCGAGAAGCGCTATGTTGGAGATAGCGTCTTTGAGCTTCTCGAAAGACAATTTAGCGTCGTCTGCAAAGTGAAAAGACCGTTGTTTACCGCGGAGCAAGTCAGTCATTGGTTGAACAATGCTCGCGCAGTTAGGGATAAAGCGTCGATAATAGTTGACCAGGCCAAGGAATCGGCGTAACTGCTTGAAGGAACTGGGAGCAGGATAGTCCTTCAGTGCCTGGATTTTGTCTGGCAGAGCTTCAATACCAGAGGCAGATATGCGGTGGCCAAGAAAGTCGATGGAACTTTGGCCAAGCTCGCATTTATCGGGGTTGACGGTAACCCCATGCTGTGTTAAGCGTTGGAAGAGTGCGTCGAGGTGATGAAGATGTTCTTCGTCTGAAGAGCGGTCGATGAGAATGTCATCTAAATAAGGATAAACGCCTTCGAGTCCTCGCGTTACCTCATGAATGAAACGCTGAAAAGTTTGGGCAGCGTTGCTGAGGCCGAAAGGCATTCTGAGGTACTCGAATAGGCCGAATGGCGTGATGACTGCTGTTTTAGCAATGTCGTCTGGCGCCACAGGTATCTGATGGTAGGCGCGAACTAAGTCGACTTTGCTGAAGATAGACTTGCCAGCTAGAGCTGAGGTCAAGTCGTGCATGTGCGGGATAGGGTATTTATCCGGGACGGTAACTTTGTTAAGTGCCCTGTAGTCACCACAGGGGCGCCAGTCACCGGATTTCTTCGGCACCATGTGTAATGGTGATGCCCATGGACTTTTGGACGAACGGATGATTCCCAGTTCGAGCCGTTGCTCGAATTCCGCCTTAGCAGCTTTGAGCTTGTCCGGGGCTAGTCGGCGAGGGCGGGCCGAATCAGGTGGGCCCTTAGTGCAAATGTAATGCATGACGTCTGACGTCACAGGAGGCAAGTCGTTCAGGACGCGAACGAGTTTAGGGTGCTTGCTGAAAAGTTCTAGAAATGGCTGTGAAGCTTGAGGTAGGACACGAATGGTAGTGATAGCAGCCACGTTGGCGCTAGTCCCGATAACACTGAGCTGTGTCCTAGAGTCTATAAGCTTCTTTCGTTTAGCGTCGACGATGAGATCGAAGCGTTGAATAAAGTCTATGCCTAGGATGGCGAAAGGCACAGCAGCGATTATGAAAGGCCAGCGAAAGGTTCGCCGGAGGCCTAAGTTGAGCGTTAGCAGCTTTTCGCCGAAAGTTGCGATTGGTGTGCCATTGGCGGCACGCAGCTTAGTCGGCGATGGTGAGACGACCTCATCTGAGCTACGGGGTATAACACTACCTTCGGCACCAGTGTCGACTAGAAACTCGGTGCCGGAAGTTAAATCCCTAACGCGGATGAGGCGACTTTGGGGTTGGCCGGTCGCGTCCGTCGCCGTTACGGACCGGCCGAGGTTCCCATGCTTTTCGGCGAAGCGGCAAGTTGGATACCAGTTGTACGAGCTGCGGTATCAAAACGCTGGTGGTACCAACAGCTACCTTGCCTATTGTTTGACTTAGAACGTTTGCAGGGGTATTTTGATCGGCTATGACGACGACGGACCATAGTAAGCTGCGGGACCTGGCGACTAAGTGTCGCGACTTGTGTTTGCAGGGTTTCTATAGTTGACTGTAAGCCAGTGATAGATTTGCCCTGGGACGAGACGGCATACATCTTGCTGGCGTCAGCTTGTGGTTGTGCTCGTTCAATAACTCGATCCGCTGATACCTGATAGTTGAGTAAGCGAAACGTAGCTCACTGTAGCGAGAATCGCTTGCGTGTATTCCGGTAGCCGTTGCAGCCATAGGTAGCGAAGTAACGTCTCATCCATTAATGAAGAACCAAGGAGTTGCTGCATCTTCTCGTAGCAGGGTTTAGGGCAGTTTGTCGCCCAGTTGCAGATCCCTGAAAAGCTGCTGCAGGCGAACTTTCTCAGAGGGCATAACACGCTTAATCGTGGCCTCCTTGAGAGCCTCATAGCGGTTTTCGGTCTGAGAAATGATGACGTCACGAACCTGCATTGATATCTCCTTGGGGAGATAGGACAGGAGCTTGCAATACTTCGCGTAGTCGGAAGTGATTCTGTGGTTATAAAACTCAGCCTCAAGATGAGCGAACCACAAAACAGGATCCATGTCCCAAAAAGGTGGAACTGAGAGAGATACAACGCTAAGTAGAGACTCTACCTTATGGTCTACAGATTCCATGGCTTGAAAAAATGACGCAAAAAATAGGCTACCGTATGCAAAAATAAACCGGAAAATATGAAAAATAAATGGAACGAGCTCACCGGAGAAAAGTTCGAAATATCCGGCGTTGAGATTGTTCCGGATCCGGGGTCACCAATTTAGAGGGTTGCCTATTCCGGGAGCCCAGAGAGCGATTCGAGAAGACAGATCGAGTTGCAGGGAAACTTTTATTGGTTCAGCAAAAGATTCCCTGTTAGCTAGCTATAAACGAACGACACCGTGGACGCTCTAGCTAGGGGAACGGATCAAGCACAGCACACAGAGCAGTCGCGCGTTGCAACCGAAGCGAGCGCCAAGCAAAAAATA